AATGGTTATTATTGTGCTGCAATATTGTACGAAGAGGGTCAATGGTCTATATCGAAATTGATTGCAGTAATAATCGAGCGGTTAAAATGCAATTGGTATTGGATATTGATTTTCAGCAACTTATGGTTGTTAGAACACCCTCTTAAATTGTAAGTCAAATATTTACATCTCCGGATGAAATGATGGACTCTATATGTTTCTCTATTGTTCCATACCTGTTGTACCTACATCATGATAAGAACAGGAACAGTAGAAGCAAAAAATGCTCTAATTTGATAACGTGTAACTTAGCAGACAGAATTGCACTGTCAAGGAGTTTCCATTCAGTTTCACGATTATACTCTGGGCGACTAGCCACCTTATCAACAAATACAGTCACTGATCAGCAATCCATACTTGACAGAAGGAGCATGCAAAGCAAAAATCCTATTCAATAGAAGGCTTATGTCAACTACTACGTTTCTTCAAAATTTGCTTTATGGATAATGATGTGTTTCATTTCAAGAGATGTTATATGAGCATATTTTTCTTCATACATAGCATCATTATACACATTGTTGATTAGCTACATTTATTATAGTAATATTCAAACTGTTTGCAGAGCCACCGTTTCATGGAATTCCATAACTCAAATGTAGGAGAATCGAAGTGTACGAAGTTTATCTTCTGATTAGACAATGAATACATTGGAGAACAGTCTTTGGGGTACCGATGCAAGCATGCGTAAAATGCATTCGCACTGATAAAGATGTCATACATCGCTTCTGGGAAAGCTTCCTAGGTATTTTACAGTACTACAGTGCATATTTTGCTCTTGAATGATGTAACAAACACATGTACACTGCATCGGCTTCCTACGCTACGACGATTAAGTACTGCTTAGGTTTTTCTCAATGGATACACAGCTGTCTCGCTACCAATTCACATCGAATATCATTGTTAAACTTGCATCAGCAAACTGTTACTGACGTTGAATGAGAAGGGTTCTTCGTTGGATCCCAAAAAAGGTATGATGTTGTCACAAGGAGACCGGAAGTACATTGATAGGAGGGAACGAAAGTTGATGTCCTCATGTGTTTAGTCAATTGTTTCTACGGTTGCTGTCATCTTACGTAAGACCAGCAGAGCTTGAACTGTAGACCTGTGATGGCATGCGATCATGAGGAGTAGCGGCACATTTTTAGTACTGCGTTACTTGCCGTTGCAGAAATGTCCTATTCCTCAACTTTTGCCATGTAGCTGGAAATGACACTCATCATTTGATCGAAAAATCAACGTTTATCGGCCACCTAATGATTTTCAGAATTGATCCTGATTACCGGTTACTCTGCTTTCAAACTTCCGGCGCGAGTCTTCAGAAATAGCATGTTTCATGGAGTGGTCCTAATGAACACAGTCCTATCGCCTGCTGGACTTTGCTTGTCAACGGGTAGTATGTCGCACACTGAATCCGGCATTCTGAATATGGACGATTCGCCACGAGGCAGTTCCAGGCCCGGCCATACTTCGCTTCGAAAGTAGAAAGATGTCTCTGTTTTGCATTGTGCATTTCTCTTCAATGGACTAGCGGCCAGTTGCCATGAAAGAAACATTTACGAACAATTTACCTTGATTTCTTCTGACTGATTATTTTACTACTTCAGCAGATGCGGGGTTCTGCTATTTTCACAAAATGTCCTGCTGTTGTGAGGGTTCAGATGAGTCATCGTGAACGACTATGTGTCGTAGAATTGTTAACAAATGATGAGGGCATAACCATGCATAGTTACCGGTGGCGTAAGCGCCCCCCCCCCTTTTGTTGTTGTTGCTGTCGTCATCTGGGGTATCAGAGCCAAGGACCGAGTGTCCAAATTGATGATATGTCACTTGTTTGGGTTTGATTAAACGTGTTTCCCTTGCCCAGAGGCATGACCTTATTTGTGTCGCAGGTTAAAGCTACGCAATCATCGAGTTCTGCAGCTACAGTGGGAAAAATATAGGACGACACAAGTTTAGGTTGCAACCCTTTGGATGTCGGTTTCTCGTGCACTTAAACAATGGCGACCATTTTTGGTGCTTTTATCCATAGAGCTTATGGGGGAAGCTGTTATCTATGTCTATGCCATCGGTCATTATAGCCTACATCTAGAGGCAACGTCTAAAGTTATGTGACAAGTATACCGTATGATTTTCTGTTCCTATTCCCACTCATATATATATAGCTCGAAAAGACGAAAACCCCATGGACTGAACCCGACCGGATCTGAACCATAGGATCACTCGATTTTGAGTTCGATGCACTATCGACTAAGCCACCGCAATCAGACAATAGCGATAAGACTTTCGTCAGCAATGGCATGATACCGCTTTGGTTTTGGACGTAGAATAAAAACATAAACATTAGTGAAAGGACATAAAATGGGAGTCATCTAAATATATCAACATTAAACGACTAGCGGCTGAAAATAATAATCGAAAATATCATGAAAATCATATCCTTCTTGTGCTTTATGCTATTTTGGTCTACAACGTTTATCCCACAAGTTCAAGCCTCACCTTCAGTTCTTGAGAAGAAAACTTTTCTAGCAAAATGAGAACATGGCCACGTTTTGCAAATGCTTGTAGAAAAATCGAAATGGCTACAATTTGCCAGCCATCCGACAAAAGACTCAGAGGACGGCCAAGAAAAGTCTGCAGCAAGTGTGTTGACAAACTCTGAGCGAGTCTCGGGTTACCCTTTCCCGAGGTTAAAACGCGGGGCATGGCCGGGAACATTGGAGACAGTCGTGCATCTGCCTCAGGATCAGGTAATCCAAAATGACAGACTGAATGGCATGCTCGTTTCATAGAAAGGTGTTGTGTTATCACTGCAGCGCTACGAGATCAGAATAAATGTACCCATATAATATTGATTATGAAGCACACTCAATTTATAATCCTTTTCTTTTCAGCGAATAGAGGCACTGTAATTTACCTCGCACCTATTCAACTTGTCCGGTCATTCAAATACTTTGTAATACCTTGAAATAATCGATTCGCAATCTTTCACTCTTATTAAAGAACGGGTGACACAGTATTATTTGCTGCGATTGCAGACAGCCAGATTTTCATATTCGAGATATTCTATGTTCCTTCCTGTCGTGGACTCAAACTTTGAACCATCAAAGCCGACAAAGGAATTCATTAGTGGTCCTAGTGATGTAGCGGAAATAAATTGAGTGTACGGAAATCACTCTGTCATCAGGACTGCAAAGAACGTTACCAGAATTTCTTTCAAACCTTCCCTACCCTCTTTGCATGGAAACTTTTCAGACGCTCATTTTATACAATTCGGGATTAGGAGTGGTTTTAATACAAACCTTGTTAATTCCAGTTATAACCGAGTTCTATTACAGTTTGACCATAACCGCCGTTGCCACGGTCATGAAAAATCCGTTGATGCATAGTTAACGATTAATTTCCTCACTATAATTTTTCCACATCATATCGCATATTAACTCGATGCTGTCTACGTAAAAATTTCTTGTCTCTTGAAAATATCGTCTGCACTTTGGATATTCAGCAATGTACTTCGATACATTTGAATATCTTACCAGGTAACCAGTTTGGTAGCCCGAGATTACAGTAACGAAGCGCAACATCCGCTGCAGGTGATCAGATATCTTGGAGTCGTACCCTCCTTAGCTGCCCCCTCCCCTCACTTCCTGAGGCAACAACGAGCAGCTAGAAGCGCAATTTGCAGTGACATATAGTCTTGGAAGAGTTATGTCTCATTTAACATACTCGTGCGCGCGAAAAACTTATGTTTATGCGGCAGGCATGTGAGGAACGCTAGTTCCTGAAAAATCGTTTTTGATGAGCGTGAAATATGTCCAGAAGGCAAACAGTCCGCGATGCACTTAGCAATGCAGGTGTTCAACTATCACTCTGAGTCATATTCTGGCTAAATAGCTCCCTGTGTAGCCCGCTGATGCAGTGTCAAAGAGGTTTGACTCGAATTCCGGAGATGCCGGAGATGAACTTCGAACTGAGGGTTCGATTTTTCCCGAGGATAATCTTCATATTATTCACAATTCCCCTGACCATAGTTGGTGGAGGCCAGTGTTGTCCTATAGGTAAACCGTCGAAGTCACAACCTATACGTAATGAGTTCAACCCCTGTCAGAGGCAGTCGTTTTTCTTCCTTCCGATATGGGTAAATCAGTTCACTCTGTGGGAAGGAAACGGGAGACTACACGTTACGCTTATCACGTGGTTATATATCCTCCTTTAAAACTAGGTACTCTTGGCATAGAAACGGACATCAACATCGCGTCATCAATTTCATGAAAGGGAGGGCGATAAATAGTCCAATCATGAAAGCGAATGAAAACCGACATTCCAACTATGAGCAATTTTCCTTTCTTTTTTGTAAATAGCTCCATTGGCAATTAGGAGCAAAGGATCGATTCTATGCACCATGAAATCCGGTCTTGGAGAGGTTTTGTTATACTTGCATAGTAAAATTGTTAATTACTCATTTAAGACTGGCACGAAGACCCAAAGCATGACATAAGCCTTAGACAACTGCCTCAGATATGCCGAAGGAAGAGTAATTGCAATGTTATCACTAAAGGTAGCTAAGTAAGCACGGTTTTCTATTCGGGCTTTGGTATCAAGCGAAAGAAAATTTCCCAACGCGTTAGAGATTCCCCTTAGGCTTGAAACCTATTTGGCGCGTAAACTACTGATTCTTTCCCCATGCCGACGCTGATTCATTCAGTTTGTTGTAAGTACTACATTCTGAGGGGTGAGTTGCTGGGAAATGACCGTTAAACACGCGGTATATCTTCCTTTGCCACGCAACCATACACAATAGCGTCAATTAACCATAACCGATATTTATGCAGCAACTTACAGCATCTGAGCACAGAGGTGATAGTCATGTGTCCGGTCGCCGCTGCTGTCGGCACTGTGGGCCGGTGGAAGCGGTCAGCAGAATGGAAAGTGGCTTATGTCCGTCGGAGAGGGCACCGTAAGCAATGACGAGCGGTCGACGCGACCGCCGAAGTTCAGCCAAGCCAAGCAAGCAGGGAAAGAAAAACTACGTCGCCTTGGCGCAACTGATTTTCTGCCCTGAGGAGAGAGATTCACCGGGGCAAACAACGGTCAGGTTTTATACCGGTTTCAAGGCGGTTGTGGCTACGGCGACGTACGATAGGCGATGAACAGGTTTCACCATCGAAGCCGTAGTGCTGGAACACGTTCGACAGGGGTGGAGGAGGCGAGCGAACGCGACGACAGCCGTCCTTTTCTCGTCAACCGGGAGACACTGCTGTGTCGAGAAAGCAAATGACAAGACACGGCTGCGGGTGGCAGGTGCAGCAGCGACGACCGAAACAGAATCTCAGACGAACGTTGTCGCGAGAGGCAAAAACTACCTCGGCGAGCAGCTGAGTCCGAGGAGGAGGAAAAGAAATCGTCGCCGACAACCTCGATCGAAACCCATGCATTATACGTAACTAAACGCATCGTGTCCACATACCTGCGACCCGCATGACCGGTGCCTTGGAACAGAGCAGTTCTGTTTGTTGAGTTTCATACGTCTGCACGAAGAATGCCGTCCGTTTCTGCCTTTGGCCGTCAGTGAAGACCTGCCAGTCGACAATTCTATAAAAAAGTTGTGATGATAAGTTGTTAGAGCATCTTTTACCACGAAGAATCACGATTATTCAAATTTCATACCCGCCACCGGCCAGTTATGGTCGAAAGACGCTCTCTCACTAATTACAGTGAAAGTTTCTGACCAAATGCGACACGCATCATCCTCGAGCGCACGTCTGCCAGGAAGTGACTCATCTTGGAAGGAAAGAAGGAGTTGAAATTTTGCCGAACTTCGGCGGGACAGAGCTGATGTCAATTCTTAGTTGATTTTTAGCGTTCGTCGTTGCAACGGCTTCTTTACAACCGACTGGCTGAGTGATTAACGAGAACCCCGGGCAACTTGCCGAAATGTGCGTTTCTGAACGAACCTCATTCCTCAGAAGCAACAACGTTTCACTCGTTTTTAAGAAGGCTAAGGCTTTTGAATTGAATTAAGTATGCTCTGCGGACTTCTATCGTTGAAACGTTGTTTTAGGTGATTAAGGCCTACTGGTCCTT